ACGAGCTGAACGTATCTCTCTGCTAATCCTACCGATGACGGGTGCGATTTTGGCGCTGGGTATTGTTTTACCCCGTGCGCAGTCAGCAGCTGCTGCACTTCGTTGCTGGTAAAATGTGACCCATTGTCATTATAGATCGCCCTGGGCCAACCGACGCTTCTCGATAGGGTTATCAGGGTGTGTAATACACCTGTGCTATCGGCCTTCTCTGTGGCTGTGGTAAATAGGTATCGTGTGAAGTAGTCGACTACGATGAGGATGTATCTCTTGCCGTCCTTTGAAACCGGGGATATTGGTCCGATGAAGTCCATCCCCCACAGGTCCATGGGTTGAAGCTGGAATATTGGGAGTATGTTTTGTGAGGGTCTTAGGGGACCAACCCTTTGGCACGGGTCGCAGGATCGGCAATAGTACGCTGCGTCTCTGTGTCTGGTCGGCCAGTAGTACTGCCCGATTAAGTTCTTGAGGGTGATTGCTTCCGCAAAATGTCCATGCACGTCGTGGGCCCATGTTAGAATGTGTGTGACCCCTTCCTTTCTCACGCATATCGCCGTATCACCATTTCTTTCTTTATAGAGTAGCCCTCGCGGAGAGTTTTGACCTTCTCCTTCCACCACTATGAACCGCGTGGATTGCTGTTTCAGGCGTCTTTTCCATTTCGAGAGTTCTGCTTCTGTAACGTCGACGGCGTTCATCTTCTCCGTTATTTTGGTTATTGGAGCTTCCCCGGATAGCTTATACTCAACGATCATACCATACCACTCATCTTCCAGCCACTCTCTCCACCTCTCCCTGTCTACCTCTACCACTGCGACCTCTAAAATGTCCTCTGACCCTTCCGCTATCTTTGTTGACTCTGCTCTCCACCCCGCCCCCTTTTTTTTTTTCGCCTCCGCCCTTTCCCTCGCTCCCTTCTTCCCCACTTCTATCTCCGCCTCCGTCTCATCTTCACTTCCCGCTTTTGACGCCGCGCACTCGTGTCTGGTTCGAAGTCTTGACATACCATCAGCCAGTATATTTTGGTTACCCGGTATGTGGTGCATCGCGAGGTCGAATTCCGATAGGGTCATTTGCCACCTAACGATTCTTCCTTTGGCCTCGTCTCCTTTAAGTACTGATAGCAGGGCTTGGTGGTCCGTATAGATTTTTACCGGGAACGGTGACCCAAGTACTAGCCATCGCACCTCGACTAGCGCTCTTACCACGGCTAGTGCCTCACGCTCGGTGGTATGATATCGCGTTTCCGCAGGCGCGAAGGGTTTTGATATGAACATGATTATGCGTTCATTTTCACGGTGTCTTGGGCCTGCTGTGGTACCCGCGGGTAGACCCGCTAGTTGAAATAGGACACCACCGTGTCCATGATCCGAAGCGTCAGTGGCGAGGTGGTATTGCATCAGTGGGTCACCTCCCCATACTACGTTCTCCATGATGCTTTTTTTGATGTGATTGAATGACATTTCATGTTCTTTGCGCCAGTTTAGTATTAATTCCCGCCTGGCTCCTCGGCTGTTTAGGTTGCACAGGATCGCCGTTTTGATGATCTTGGAGTGCTCGGCCCTTCCCGGTATCCATTGTCTCAGGTAGGTGCTGATATGTAGGAACCTTTCTACCTCCGCTACATCTCGTGGTGTCGGGTAGTCGCGTATGGCGGCGATCTTATCTATTGAAGGCCGCAGACCTCCCTTTCCGCTACCCGCGAAGCCCAATAGCTTTAAGGTAGTAGTCCAGAAACAGCTCTTATTTGGGTTTAGCTTTAGTCCCGACCAGGCAATCCTAGGGAAGTATTTCTTATGCAGAAATTCATACTGACTTTCGAATGAGGTGTTCGCGCCGTAGTCGTCATCCATGAAATAGTCAAATGCGCCATCTTCCCACGAGCCCGCTATGCCCGCCTCCGCCCCGGGAGCCGGTACTGGTCCAGTAAGGATGTCTTTCATGCGGGCGTACGTGTGGGCGGCTCCCGAAAGTCCCATTCCCATTCGGAGATAACAGAATTGTCCGAAGGGCGTGTTGAAGGCTGTCTTGTACGCGTGCTCTCGAGCGAGTGGTAAGCCCCAGTATCCTACGGAGGCATCTGCCTGCCAGTAGCAACTAAACTTGCTTTGCATGAGGTTGTGTATGATTGGCTCGATTCGTTTCATGGGGGTCTTAAATTTGATTGTAGCCTGATTTAACTTGCAGAATACGTGCACCATCCGTAGGGTGCCTGTCTTTCTTCTCACGAATTTCGGGCGGCTGGACCATTGCGAGTTGGAGAATGTTAGGATTCCTGATTCGCACATCTTTGGTAGGTTCTCGCGCATCCAGTTTACCTCTTCTGCGGTGTAAAGAGGGTTAGCTGCTTTATGGGGAACTGACCCAGGGTAGGTCGGTATGTAATGGACCGCCAACTTGCACTCTGGTACACTCCCGAGGTCATCTCCAAAGATGTCCCTCCACGTGTACAACAGGCGCGCTGCCTTCTCCCTTTCCTCCCCTACTGCCGCCTCTCCAATCTGTATCTTGCTTCTTCTGTGCCATTCTTCGATGGTTTCGTTGCTACTATGAGCGTCAACATTTCTTCGATACACTGCCGGCCTTTCTTTAGTGGGGTAGCCAGTTGTGTTAATGCCGTACACTCGATCGTCTTCATTGATTAATTCATATATGGTGCCATCGTAATCTTTGACAGTTCTGGGATCGGGGTCTAATTCTCTTTCTCCTTCCGCCACCCGCACCTCACTCACTGGGGGCGCCTGCTTCGTAGCGCCTTCAATTTGGAAGCATTCCCACGGGTCGGGCTCCTCGAGGTCGACCCTCACCACCTCACACCCTTTCCCCTTCTCTCCCGCCTCCACACACTCACACTCCACCTCTCCTCCGGGCTCGTGCTCTATCCCGCTGCTAGCCGCCCGGGCACTTAGCAGCGGCTGGCTTTTAAAGCCACCCCTTGTCTCCTCAAATTTTCTTCAGCCCCATCCCACTCGGGTCCTGTGCCTCGATCATCTCCGTCTTCCCTTTCTTGCTGTTCAGTTTGCTGCACAATCTGAGCAACGATCTCCATCATCAACTCCTCACCTCCTTCTAACTCTTCTCTAACCTCATCGTCGACATCGGCGGCAATGGCTTCAGGTTGTAAGACGACCTGCGGCGTTCTCTCATCATTGCCTTTGCTGGCAGGGACTACATATTCTTTTCCGGCCCTGTCTTTTATGATGTAGGTGTCCGTCCTGTAATCGCCCCTGGCCTGACACTGTCTTAGCCACCTCCTGCTAAGGAGGATGGCGTAGCTAGGTTTCTTTGGTCCCGGCATTAGGTAGCACGGGACTGATGCGGTTACCCCCGCGATCTCAAGGTCGATTACCACCGCTGAATTAATGGGTGCGATGCTCCCGTCGGCAGTTTTGACGCTGATGCCTCGGCTTTCGATCCTCGTCAGCCCCATTGCATTGGCAACCGCCTCTGGCATTAGGTTGACCACCGACCCCGCGTCTACTAAAATTCTCTTTATGGAGTAGTGGCCTTTTCCTCCCACCTTAATGTTTCCGTGGGTGTAGAAGTTCAGAACAGGTCCCGCATCAGCTCGAGCTCTCCTCTTAACGGTCTCTACCGCTAGGGATTCATCTACTGAGTGCGTTTGCTCTGGTTCTTTTCCCTTGCTGGCGCGAGGAATTCTCTCCTGTACGAGCCCTTTCGCCACCTCTCTTCTGGCTAGTGGTGCGAGCTCAAACAGTTTTCCCCAGGTCAATCCCTCAACGGGTGTGTCGCGAAGTCTTGCGACCACATCCTCAGCGATTTGCCCTTTCATCATCCTGATGGGTGGCCTCTGTATTGGGGCTTTCGGGGCTTTGGGCTTGGTAGTCTTCTTGGTGGGCGCATTGTACGCGTCGGTATCTGAATCCTCTGGCGCTTGTCTGGACCCACTCGCCTTTGCCGCTTCTTTATTTCCGCGCGCTTGCGACGGCTCCTCTTCGCTCTCGCTTTCCACCGTTACCCTCCTGCGTCCAGCAGGGGGCCCATCCCTGGTCCATCTCCCAAACGCTTCATCCTTCCCCCTCTTCTCTACTGCATCCGCATCTGCCTCGAACCATTCAATCAGGCTCGATTCTGGGACCTGCATGTCCTCCCCCTTCCCTTTGCTCCTGACTACTTCCACTCCATGCACCCCCGCTGGACCCTGCGGAGCGATAACTCTCGCATCGTTTGATTGTGGTGCCTGTTCACCCTGATTTCTGTATTTTGCTAGGATTCGTTCTGCCAGCTCTTCTTCGGCCTTTTGCCGAACTCGATACTGTTCTTCGCGAGGGAGCGGGGGATTGGTGCAGTCGGCGCTATAGTGGCCGTGCTCTCCGCACCTATAACAGACACTAGGTGACCTAGTGTCTCCTTGTACGCTGTGCCTGCGCACTAGGTAGGGTCCTTGCCTCGAGAAGGCTTGTTGACGATCAACCGCCGGCCCATAGCCGCCCGGGTACTGAGGTCTGCTCATACCTGGCGCCTGGTTGCTCACCGGCGGTCTGTCATTGTAACGTGGTGGTCCCTGCCTTTGCATCGCGTAGGCTTCGACTTCGGAGGCTAGACTAACCGCATTCTCGTTCTTCTCCTTCGTCATCATTTTCTTGAACAGCCTTGAGAACTCGTCCTCGTCGACCGCGGGGGTCTTGCTGTTCTTCTTGCTCTTCTGGTTTTTTTTCTTCTTCGCCCTCTTGCGTTTCTTGGATTCGCCTGACGAGGATGAACTGCTGCTGCTGTCGCTGTCATCGCCGCTGCTCTCGCTACTGCTGCTGCTGCTCGATGACGAAGTGCTCGAGTCATCTGACTTATCGCCCTTCTTTTTCTTTTGCTTGCGTCCGGCCTGCTCAGTGATGCGCGCGGCGTTGATTGCCTCCGCTAGCGTGAATGTCTCACCTAGGTTGCCGATGCCGTACATGTGGAGCCGATGGTTGCTCCTCTTGATGCCCAGCACGAACCGCTTGGCTGCTGTTTCGTCCCACCTGGAGGAAAGCTGTTCGGCAATCTTAGTGGTCTTCTTGATGTACCTCTTTAGGGAAAGGCTGCCCTGTCGAAGGTTTAGGAGCTTGTCTTCGTTCCTCCGTTTGTTATTGATGCTGTGGTGGGTACGGTCGTACTTCTTTTTGAGAACTGCAATCAATTCTTCCCAGGATCCACTAATCGCGGGGGGTTGACGTAGAACAAATGTCGAAGCTCTACCCTTAAGCTTGCTGCGGAGCAGGGCGAGTTTGGCTGCGTTCTTTTGTGCTTGGGTGATGTAGCACTCATCTTTGGGCATATAGTGGACTTCGAGATCAGCGAGAAACACGTTGATATTCTCGCCCGTCTTGCCACGGAAACTGCGTACGGGGATGGATTCCATGATGATGGGCCTATCTTGACTATTCAAGACGCTTTCGACGAAGGGAGGTAGTCCTGGGGTGATAGATTTTGTAGAGCTCTTCTCTGGGTTGCTTCGGTCTGTGTTGCTGCCGCCGGGGGTCATAGGCCTACTTTGAGTGATTCTCTGGAGGTTTTTTATGGTCTCTCTGGCTCGATGCCTGGTACGGTTACCAGGTGGTGACGGAATTTTGCTCTTCGTCGTTTGCTCCCCTTTTTTTTTTGGCGTTTGCACTCGGAAAAGCAATTTCGTGGAAATTTTTTTTGCTTTTCTTGATGCACGGGAGGGTCTTTGGTGGCTCTTTTTTTTTTTTTTTTGCTTTATGGCTCGTGAGGTGGGCTCGTTCCTTGCTCGGTATGGCTCGTGTTCTTGCTCGTCAAAAAAAAAAGGAAAAAAATGTGTGAACTGGAGGGGTCTCTTGATTTAGATCATCACGTCGGGGTCACCACGTTTTCAGGCTGATTCGTGATCTGTGATTATGATGATGGATGATTGTCTTGATTCTTGATAACGAAGAAGGGATAAGCCCAGGGGAAAATCCCTTGTATACAATGCTATGCTAGTGCCAGATATGCTGTGACCTCAATTTGCTGACCCGTGTCTCAATCCGTGCTTCTGCCAAGACTGCGCCACAACGTCCACGATACGATTTGAAGCTTGTGGACTATCACGATTACCGAATGTTCCTTCTGCCTGCACTTGTTCTCGTTCTCCAGGCTGAGATTGAAATGATCTCCATCCCTACATACGGACAGATAGCGTTCAATGTCGTACGTACCAAAAAAAAAATCAATTGATGAGAAAATCAAGGACAACTACATACGTACATGTATGTAATGTAGCCTCATTCACTCTCTCACTCACCCTATCTCACTCTGCCTCTGCTGCTCTCACTCGTACGGGCTCGTACATTACGATCTCTACGGTCATTCAACTTACATACCTTACGTTACCGGGAAATTGAAATTAGGCATAGTACCTACCTATGTACATACATACAACACATACACATACATCGTCTGGGGTTTTGTTTAATTCCCCATATATCGTTTTCTGACATACCGCGGACCCACTCCCCGGGAAGAGAAAAAAAAATAGTCATCTCAAGATAGTAAAGATTTATAATCAACTAATTGCGTGAGAAAAAAGAACTCAAGACATACGAGACGAAGGTTGGCTTTGTCACCCTTACTAGAGATGTAGGTATATCAATTACCCCATCGTATAGGACGCATGGGGCCAATGCCCCCGCTGCAAGAGCGGACGCTGCGTGCGAATCAGTGAAGGTGCCCGCAAAGCCGCATCAAAAAAAATCCCTTCCCGAGATGCTTTGCCGGGAGTCCACGCGGGTTTGTGTGAGGATAGCTAGGGAGGTAGGCTATATGTTATGTTTGGCTTTTTGCTACATACACATACATACCTGTGTGTACCGAGCGGTAGGTATGTAATATGCACTATGGCTATGGGTACTCTAAAGAGACAGAAAGGGAGAGAGAGTGCGGCCGCTCCAAGGGTATAGGTACGACGGTTTCTATCTCCTTCTCCACGCTTCAAATTTTTTTGTTATTTTGTTTTTTTTGTGGGGAAGGGAAGGATGAAACTGCATATTGTAGGTATGTACCGGCTTGGGATGGGATACCTAGCTGCGCTGCACGTCGCGTCGAAACGAGACGTTGAGGGTAGGGAAAACACTTTTTTTGTTACATTGGTAGCATATTCTACCTAGGTAGTACTCCCGGATCCCGCTTGCTTGGCCATCACTCATTGGTTAGGAGGGGAGGTTGCTTGCGAAATATCAACTGATCATTGACTTCTATAGAGTATGATATGTACGCACAATTACATTCCAATGCCCTGGACAGCAACCAATGCCTTTGTCCAATTGTCTCAGGCCAGCCGTTTACTACACAGGTCGAAGCACCTTAGAACGAAGAAAAGTGTTCAATTAAGGGGTGTTCCTTTTTCCTTTTTGCTTTTCCCTTTTCTCTCTTGCTCTCTGCATGTCTGTCTGCCTTCGACCAGTGCGTGCTGCTTGCTGATGCGGCTGCTGGGGTTATTAATGGAACGCTCCGCAAAATTTGTGAGAAGGGGAAAAAAGGAAAGGATCTTCTCTTTTCTTTTCCCTTTCCTCTCACTCTCTCCCTTTTGCACCAAACTCTGCGTAACCCGTAACCATGGCGAGAAACAAGTTACACTGCAGCCTGCATTATGAGGGTCGGTATGTGATGGTGGTAAGTGGTGTGTGGGTTAGTTAATTTATCAAAGTAGTAGTACTTCCATGACCGCAGCGTCCCCTAATTAAATTACAAAGCCTTTCTTGGGGAAAAAAAATCCCCCCAATTGTTTAATTAACCGTGGTTATGTACCTACTGCCGCTACTGCTAGGTATGTTATGCTATGCCATGCTACATAGGAGGTATTCTACATTTACCTGCGCCTCCCCTGGCCTCTTGGTACCTTCCCTCCTTGTGATGTGATAGTCCAGAAGTGGTGAGTTGCCTTAAACACATCTGCACGCAGGTCTCGCTTCAACTTGGGCGACAAAACGGACTTGTCTTGTGTGTGCAGCCTTGGGATACAGATAAATTTCATCTCATAAGGATCAAACACCAGAAAAAATCGTTTTTTTTTTGGAAGAGAAGAGATCAAGGAGGGCTTTTTTGTCTTGGATTCTTTCTTTAAGTTTCCACATGGAAAACGCGGGAATGCTGATTTGATATGCTTAACCACCACGCGCGCTCTCTGCAAAGGCAAAGCAAAACGTACTCCTTTCAGTACTACCGCCGCAATTGAGTGTTTTATTCCATCGTGATGGCATATTAATCCTCACTCAACAGACGCCTGCTCATGCTGCTGCTCCTGCTGTCGTACAGTTATCTACGAGGAGAGAGAGTAGAAGGCCGCGCGAGCCTTTTCCTCCCCTTCCTTCATGTAATGTCCATTAAAACAAAAACAGAAATGACCGTGGTGCGTCGAAGCATATTGTTTTGAGGAAAATAATAATTATAATTCAATTTTTTTTTTTTTGGTGCGCACAGTAAATTAGAGTTATTTTTTATTTTTTATTTTTTATATATTTTTTTATATATTTTTTTATAAATCTGCTACTGATCCTCCACCATCCTTTACCAGCTCACCGGTACGCTATATACGGCTGCGGCGTAAATACCTCTGTGTGTACAGGCCGGTCGGTGGTCTCGGTGACATTGATGGTGGGTGACCGGTGATGGTAATGGGGTGGTGGTACTGCGAAACATCAATGATCTGCAACACCAAAAGCTGAGCTGCCCAAGGTTTCGAAATATCTGAATCTCATTACGTTATTTCTCGCTTTCAAGGCTGGGGCTGAGGGGGGCCGCCATGGCAATTATATTGGTTGATTGATGATAATCCGTTTTTATTTTCCCCGGTTTGCAGTATATTATGATTAAAAAAGGTAAAAAAGGTAAAATGAAAACCTGCTTTATTTTGTTTTAAACGAACCGATATAAGTATATATGGAGATATGCTGTCCGCCGTCAACTCGCACTGCTGAAGTAATAGATCTACCCTATGCTATGTAGCTTCCCTGGCAACCCCCGTCGCATCTTGAAGACTTAATTTCAAGCATCGAAAGAAGGAAGGAAGGTAGAAAAAATAAAATAGGAATGAAAAAAATAAATAATAATCGATATCTGAGTGTAGATGGTAGATAAAAACCTGCGTAACATTGCCGATAAGATGGGATAGCCAAGCTATTCCATCATGCTCAATGAGAGAATCCAGACTGTACCGCAATCGTCCCTGCCTGGCCAGGGCACGCTCGCTCGCTCAAGCAGGCAGCTGTCAATCGGTAAGCTTTAAAATGGAACTGATTGGAAAAGTTAGCTAGGCTAATGGCCCTTTTTTGCCTAGATACCTACATCTTCTGTTACTCTACTCAGCTAGGCCAGCTACATAAACTTTTTCATGCTCACTTCATATCATCATGAACCACCTTCGCCGCGAACGCGCAAAAAAGAAAAGAAAAAAAAGCTAGCACCGGGAAATATAGCTTGGCCCGCTCCTGCTGCCTGGTGTCGCAATCCAGTTCGACGTGCGGTGTTTGTGTGTGCGTGCGCAGATCCGATGCGTGGGCTATTTCGAAAAAAACCCTTGAGCGGGACCGGCGGAGAGTAGGTAGACGTACACTACATGTAGGTAGTAGACGGGCTTATCACACAGAGCACACCGGGGTTCGGCAACCAAGATCATTTCCACTCCTGGGTGCTTCTTGAGCCTCTCCTCGAGTATCGCGGTTAAGTCTGTCACTGTCTGTGTGTGGTGTTGGAGGTTGTGGAGCTGTGGTGTTTCAATAGCAGGCGTAGTAAACTCTAGCTAGGATGATGATTACCAGTGTGAGTAATGTTTCTCAGAACCCTCTCTCAGGCTCCTTCCTTCCCTAGCGTTTGTACCCCCCTTTGGATGAAACATTTCGGCTCGCTCAAGAATACCTTTTCTCTTTTCTCTACAATTTCACCCAGTCTTTATTTACCACTGCTACACAAAGCCCGCGCGCGCACGACCAACCTGGAGTCAGTGCAACTTACACCGATCTCGCTTGTGAAAAGAGAGAAGTCGAGACCCATGATTTGGCTGGCCATCTATCAATCCAAGCTGAGTGTTTCATTAATCCGATGAACCATCATCTCTCTAACAATACTCTATTTCTTGCTCATGCTATTTCGGCCCCACCCCTCCATCCATCTATCCCTAGTCAAAAGCCAAGTCAGGGTCCACGGCGATAGAGTACCCGTACGCGTGTAGATAGAGAAAATACACTCCGTGGGGGTTCACAAAATATTTCGCGTCTCTCCCCCACGACTCAATATCGCGGTGGTGGTACTAGAGTACGACTGCACTACATACCACTCTAACTACTACTCTAGCTGGCTGGTGAACGATAAGGGTCCCATCACTCCCTAGTACAGATCTAGGAAGGCCTGTCTCTCCACCATATCGCAAATCTCTGGTCTTCCGTATCAAAAACATCTCATCCTCTCCCCGCCCGCGTTCGCGCGCAAGCTCGTCCAAAAAGAATCAAAAACCGGTTCAGCAGCAACATCATGCCATGCAAAACGGCGGCC